TATATACACAGTGTGAGATATATATCGTTTTGTTTTGAAAGGTTGGAACCTTTCAAAGACAGATTTACAAGTGGAAAGTTTGATGCCATCAAACCTCATTCAATCCACTACTCCTTTGAACGTGCAACAATTTGTGAATATGACTACCACTTTGTATTCGTTGTTAATGCTTTCCCAATTTTGCAACGATTGATTACGACGTTGGATTTCGGAGCATTTTTCTATTGTGATTAACGCATATGAGTGTAATTTGAAAAATAAATAATGAATTATTGTTTTAGTTTATAAAAGATAAACTGCAAATGACATAAGTTCAATGGGTCTTTTGATTGATTGATTATTGCTGGCATAACATCCAGTTGCAAATATTTCACTCATTTTCAGGACGAGAACAAATCAATAATAAGAATAATTGGTAGGTAATGCAATTTGAGGAAGCCTCTTAATGTCGACCAGGATTAAGAGCGGGAAATTTGGACTTGCACTGGAAATTGGTGGTACATGTATGTTGAATATTTGCCGACATTTTGGTTTGCAACAGGCCACCTACAGACCCTTTAGAGAGATGTCGCAAGTTGTTTTTTTAACGTGAAAAGAGTGCAACTCACACCCGATACACGAGGTCGTAATGGGGGTACCTTCATAACAAATAACGGTAAAAAATCTTACCAAATGACGTTAACGGTTATTTATGGTGCATGACGATAAAATGTACACTTTCTTTAATTATGACGATTAAAAAAAAAAGGCAAACATGCAATACTGTAAATTCAGAAATTATTGCGTGCACTTATTATTGCTATTTTTGAAGAATGGACTTAAATGCGAGATTAATTATTGCGATTTCAGGAAAATATGCATACAGTTATATGTATCAGATATTTGAGACCTATGACGAATCATGATAAGGATATTTTGACGAATCACGATAAAATTTTAACCAATTTGACGCTAACGGTAGTCGGAAATGACCGTTTGACGCCTGACGGTAAAGGGCTTAAAATTCCTAGATACAAGAAGCGTCGGATTTAGCCACGGGGGTAACTTCCATATTTTTTTGGTATGTATATGCCATTTTTGCCTCAATAAACGTACCCATTTTAATATATAATTCACTGAAATTCATTACCTATGATAGTTATATAAATATTTAAGAAATAATGACCTACACTTATATATGATATTTAAAATATGACCCATGCTTATATAAACACTAAATCTATATCATCACTCATAATTCATAAATATACAGCTACCTTTAAGTTTTTGAATATGAATTGACATCGTTTGGTGCACATATATTTTATCGTAATTTTGCGGACGCCATCACGAGTTGGTTTACCGTTATGGAATAACCGTTTCACAGATGATATCGGATATGTTCCTTATGTCGTAACTACAATACCCTTCCCTTTTCACGAATGTGACCTACCGAATTAGACTATTTACCAGATTTGTAATAAAGTAAGCAACACGACGGGTGCCACATGTGGAGCAGGATCTGCTTACCCTTCCGGAGCACCTGAGATCACCCCCAGTTTTTGGTGGGGTTCGTGTTGCTCAAGTTAGTCTTTTCTTCTACTTCTGCCATATAGTGACCGCCTTCAACAAATTGAAGATTATGTCACAGGAGGAAACTTACAACAAGACATAGATTGATATATATATACAATCTTTAAAAAATACGAAAACATTAAAAAATGCTTTGTATAATTAAGTATGATGTAATAGTTGAGTTAATATTGATGCTTTGAAATTGAAGATTTGAAAGAGTCTACTGAAGTGCAATTTACAATGTTGTCCGGTAGTTTGTTCCAGTCGGTAATAGTTCTTGGAAAATATGATTCTTTTCTGTACTGTGTTTTGCAGGATGGAATTTGGAAGCTGTTCGAATTTGAATGTCTTGTTTGTCTTTTTTGTGGGATTAATTTATTATTTTTAGGTATTGCAACCTTTTCGTGTTCAATTTTATAAAGCATTACCAATTTTGAGTCTTTCCTTCTGTCAGAGAGGCTGCGCCATTCAAGATGTTGAAACATGTTACCAACGCTTGAGGTGTTTCTGTATTTGTTGGTAACAAGACGCGCAGCCCTCCTTTGAACTTTTTCAATGCTATCTATGTCTTGTTGTAAGTATGGATCCCAAACAGAGCAAGCATACTCTAGTGATGGTCTTACTAGGGACTTATATGCTTGCTCTTTAATTGATGTTGAGCTTATGTTCAGGTTCCTCCTTAGAAAGCCTAGGGTGCTATTAGCTTTCTTGCATATGTTGTTTATGTGCACATCCCATTTAAGGTTGGAACTGATGATAAACCCCAGATATTTTGCTGTTGTTACATGTTCTAATGAGTGATTGTGTAATGTGTAGTTAAATTTGATTGGTTTTTTATTTCTGGTGACTGAAATTACATTACACTTATCTGGGTGGAATGCCATTTTCCACATAGTTTCCCACGATGCCAGTTTGTCAAGATCTTTTTGTAATGTGGATGCTTCGGAATTTGATTTTATAGCCAAATACACTATTGTGTCATCTGCAAATAAACGTACTGTAGATGTAAGACCAGTTGGAATGTCGTTAATATAATACAGGAAGAGACTTGGTCCAAGAACTGACCCCTGTGGAACCCCTGACTCAACTGCAACATACTCAGATTTTTCCCCCTCTAGAACTACTGCCTGTTTACGATTGCTTAGAAAATTTTGTATCCAGTAATTTAATTCCCCCTGTATCCCGTAATGGTGAAGCTTATTAGTTAGAAGAGAATGTGAAACTTTATCGAATGCTTTAGAAAAATCCATGACCAAAATATCTGTTTGTTTACCGTTTTCAATGTTAAGTGAGACATCATCTATAAATTCAAGTAGTTGTGTTTCGCAGGATCGACCTCTGCGAAATCCATGCTGTAGGGGATATAAAATGTTGTGATTATCTGCATGTGTCATGATGTGTTTAACTACTATGTGTTCTAAAAGTTTGCAACAAATACATGTGAGTGAGAGATATAGGGCGGTAGTTTTCAGGGTTATATTTTTGGCCTTTTTTGTATACAGGAGAGACATGGGTAGTTTTCCAGTCATCTGGAACAACACCTGTTTTAACTGACTTCTCAAAGATAATGGTAAGTATTGGTGCAATTTCATGTGAAAGTTCTTTTAAAAATCTTGGTTTAATTTCGTCTGGTCCTGCTGCTTTGTTAGGATTTAAGTTATGTAAAAGTTTTTGTATACCTTCTGTTTTTATGATTAATTTTGTTATGGGTGGAAAAAGAGTATTCTGTGGCATGTTACACTGTTTGACAAATTCTTTATGGGAGATATTTGATGCTGGTGTGAATACAGACTGGAATTGTGCGTTAAGTGCCCCAGCTTTTTGTAGTGGATCAGTTAAGAGTTTGCCATCTTGTTTAATTTCAGTAATACAACTATAATCAGTTTTTTTATGTTTAATATAGGTCCAAAAATTTTTCATAGTGCCAAAATTTGTTCCATCTTGTGGTGGTAATATGATGCTTTCAATGTATTCCCAGTATGATTTTCGTATACATTTCTGTACCTGGTGTTTAACCTCTTTGTATTTTTTAGTAAGAGATGCATTCCCGGATTTTTTGATTTTTTATAAAGTCTATCTCTTTTTCTAATGAGCCGTTTAGTTTTCTATGTTGTGTCACCTGTACTATTATTTGTCTGTTTGTTTTTTTATTTTTGGCCATGGCATTGTCAGTTTGTTTTCGATCTATGAGTTTGACTGTCCCTCTGGTATCTATCGTCCCTCTTATATCACTAATAATGTAAGATTCTCAATATCAAACATAAATGCGTTTTAATATAGGATGTCATTAAAAAGGAGGGTCATTTTTATATAAAATCTCGCAAAATTATGACCCATAATTTTGGCACATCCCCGTATACCCAATAATAGGAAGTGGATTTAGCGACCATATTCCGTCCGGACATTGATGCGTATATACACATCCCGCAAGGGTTTTACTACCGGACGGGAGAAGTCCAAGGAAGACCATATACCCCGAATCAATCCATTGAGTTTATAGGTCTTTTGAGCTTAGTGAGCTTCATACGAAAAAGTATTGCCTCCTGAAAGTCCAAACATTCCTGAAAACAAAAATTGATATAACCTTTGTTTCAATTTTTTTTTATTTGTCCATTTTTGCAAAAAAAAAAAAAAAACATCCAATCAGAACATTTGTCCGCTAAATGAAATGCGATATTAAGAGAGGGGTTTAAAGGGGGGTATCTGCACGGAAGAACGCGAAATAAAATTGCCATTTCACGATGAACGAACAATTAAAAATTTCTTGCACGTTGATCTTTTTACGGATTTCACGAAACACGGTGAATAACGAACCCTTTTCACGGCTGCACGTGATATAAAAATGACAAAACACGTTGCACGAAAATAACCCTTCACCACCCTCTTAAGAATTCCCTTTTTTTCCTACTGAATAGCCATGCAGTGAGTTATTTAATAACTCGTTTTTAATTTCACAACATATCTTAGCTTTTTTTATAGTCAAACAGCGTAAAGACATTTTTTTATATTGAATTTTTATGTCATTTTGTTTCTAGCCCATAATGACCATAATCCATATTCTTTCTACTACTACAGTGACGTACACCTAAAGTACACTATGAAGTGATAGTTTCCACATACCTACTTGCAAGGTAACTCCAAGTCAGAAGTATATTCTTTCAAGAATTTGTTATAGATCTATATAATTTACTAGTACATTGCGCCATTTATTTTATTTCCTCTCACCACAGCACCGTGTCATTCACCATATAGGATATTTATGATCTTTTATGAAAAATGCTGATCAAGGTTTATCTAAGACTGATTTTTTTATTGATTTAGTAAAAAAATTGCGTTTCAGCTTGACCTTGAGATAAACAAACACAGATTTTAAATTATGGTGGCAAAGCACATGACACTATCTCCCGAATGACGTTGTTGAACCCGCTACGTCTTTGCACTTATGACGTCATCATTCAAACGTTTGTACGCCATTGCGGAAGACCAGTAAACATGACCGTGTTCCTACTTTTAGTGTGTATTGCTAGTTTTGGTATTAATTGTGCACCATTCACAGACAGTGAGAAGCATGGTAGGTTGTAAAATAGTAATATTATACATATGCATGCTGCCCAAGTCTAAATATATTGGCATTACTTTAACAAAACTAAACCATCTTTGTGGAAATTTCTCGAATAACTCTTTGATTAGAGCTCTCGTGTTCTATTAATGGTTTTTGCAAGGGGGGGAAGGGGGGGGGGGGGAGTGAAAAAGAAATTTAAAATAAGAAGGCAGGACTGAGAATTTGGCGAAAAATATCAAGGATGACCCATTGCTCAAAAAAAGAAAGGCAGTAGCCGCGGAACCGTATTTGCTACTTTATGCAGTTATGGTCCGTGTGATATTTTTTGAACATTTTTCGAACCATAGTTTAAAGTATGCACAAATCAGTATTCATATATATGGACCACTAGATTTAAGGTTGATGCCCGCCTATAAATTATTTTTTTATTAATCATTCGCGATGTAAAAAAGTCGAACACAATATTTGCGTCTCTTGCTCGATTGAAGACTATATTCTAAATCTACAAGAATTGTATTATTTTAACAAAAAACGACTTATACTGTATCAAAGTTATTTGTTGTATTGCTGAATGTATGTATTTTCTTTGTTATTTTGTATTTACGTATTACGGGTGTAAAGATTTATAACAATCCAAAAATCCCTGATACGGGGCTTTTGTTGTTTTAGTTTCTGTTGTTTTTTAGATCTAATTTTCAATTTATGTGTTGTCTCTACAGGTTTTTATCTTTTTTTCTCAACTGAAATATAATTGTATATACTTCTACCACTAAGAATCCACCGTCATTATGTTGACTATCCTGTCACTGTTTGGTGTGCGCTTGCATACTTAACAAGTCCAAAATAATTTTAACAGAAAAGAAAAAAAGAAATTTGTGCTGTATATAACAATTATATATGGTGCAAATAAAAACATGGGACTTGAAATTTAATGTGCATGCAGTAGTCTCTTGAACGAGTCAAGACTTTCTTCAGCAGTCACCGAGGCAGGTAAAGTGTTCCAATCTATTATCATTCTTGGGTAGAAGGACTCTTTCCTGATACTGGTCTTACAAGATGTATTTGGAATGAGTGAATGTTGGTATGTCTTGATAATCTGTCTGGTGGTATCAGTTTGTCACCAGCATCAATATTTACTTCCTCGTTTGAAATTTTGTATTATTGGGTTAGTCCAGCGTTATTTCTTCTCTCCTCTGGTGTTGGCTATACACCTTATCGCTATTTGGAATTCTGTCCCGGCTGGCCTGAGAATCTGCCCCGCTTGAACCGTTGACGTCATACAACAATCACTTTTCCATTGTGGCGTCAGATATTTTGTATTATGACGTCAAAATTTTATGGGAACCTTTCAGTTTGTGATGTCCAGTAATGGCGGCCAAATAGCAATAAGGTGTATTGTAGTTGTTGTAGCATAGATTCAGCTGATGTGCTCACTGTTGTGGTACCTGTTTGTTACATACCTTGTAATATTAATCCTTTGTGTTTCTACTTATACCAGGAAAAAAGGTAAAATGACTGCCAGAAAATAAAATTATGCCCAAATAATTGAAATAAAAAAAGTAGTTCCAAAGGCTTTGAGAAATTTACAGGACATTTAGATTTACACACAAGATTTGAACAAATTAAAAATTTTATTGGGTCATTTGGTCCAGTAATGCATATCCTTAAGGCGAAGTGTACGTAATTGACTACTCCACAGAATTTTTTTAAATTTTACATGTGGATTCTGCTTGTAAAAATACATCACACAATAAAATAAAAAAAGGGGGTAACCGTTTTCGTTTTTCAGATACAAGCTGTTGAAATTAGCAGCATGATAAGCCAAAAATACAAAGGATATATAGGGAAAATCATAAAAATCGGCAGATATTTTTACTTTATCAAGATTTTCTAATTCGTTGCTCCACAGAATTTTTTTAAAAATCGATATGCGATTCAAAAATGAACGACGAACCCATTGGTGCAAAGAAAGTCCTTAGCAACCGTGCTAGTTTTCAAGCTATATCCTGTGGAAGTTTGATTTCTAGCGGAAAGAATAAAAACAATCGGCGACGTTATTGATGTCCTCTGTAACGTCATCACAATTTCTACTCTATAACGCTATTATACCGTACAGTGTCGTAACAAAATCGTGAGTGTGTATAACCCATTTTCCTAATTATTGCAAATGCTCAAGCGTTAATTTCTGTGTCATTTGGACTCTTGTGGAGAGTTGTCTTATTGGCAATCATGCCACATGTTCTTTTTTTATATTGTAATGTTCTAATAATTATGAATCAATATCAAGTTTAAAATTGTCCCAGTAAACACAGCGTTGACAGAATGATTCTATACGTATTTAAATAATTGGTTATAATATTGGGATCGCGTATACACGTCTTTTTTAAAATCTTATTTCTGCATGTTTGTATTTTAAAAAAGTGAATATAATTTGCTGCATCTTTTCATCCTCACCATTTCCGGTGCTATTCGAGGGATTGCGCACAAAGCCCATTTTTTGTCAGGTTCACACGCGTGCACGTGACACAACTCTGCAATTTTATTTAAAAAATTTCCTGTCTCGATCGCTTTCCCTTTTCTTTAACTACACGACAAAGCATGATTTAATGTTTGCTGGAGATTTTAAGTAAAAAAGGAAATAATTTTTTGTTCCATAATTTGTTTAATATCCACATGCACGACTCCCAAAAAATAAGAAAACTGCATCTGCATATTATCTTGAGAATTTTTATGACTGTAATAAGGTCAAAAGAAGAACCCGCATATGATTTTAGCAAAGTAAAACAGATCGGAGTTTTAACTTCACGTAGCACAGATCATTCCCAGTGTTAGCCTTAGCATTGCGTATATTGTGTATAATGCTATAGCATTGTGTATAATTGTGTAATGCTAAAGCTTTGTGCATAGTGATATGCTATAAATTAATGTACTGGTGTAATGCTATAAGAATGTACCAAGAGCGATGCTATACGAGTTTACCTAGTATAGTGCCATACAAATTGTTCCTGTATATAATGCAAATGAATTGCAGTTTTGTTAATATAATATGAACAAAAGGAGCTGTGGTATGATTGCAAATGAGACAACTATCTGCCACGTTTAAGGTAGATCGGGTGTCTTTTTCTGAGCGTCCGTTCTGATCATGTTAATTGCAAAAACTTTTTTGTTTTAAAAATATTTTACCAAGTATCATTTAATATACAACAAAATACCTAAAACTTGAAGTTTAAAGATTGAACTATCAAGAAATTAAGTGTCGTAAAGTATATATAAAATTTTGGGGGATTTTTTCAAGAAAATAAGGCCTGTGACCCCTTATTTTTATTTGATATTTCGGAGTTATTAATGAAAAGCAATTCTCTCATCGAATTTTAGCCAATTCTATCGTTTAATGTTTCCGCAATAAGGAAAACTTAAGTTTCCCCTATATCAACAATATAAAATAACCCAAATTTCGTTAATTTCAATATGTTATTACGAAAAAACAAGGTCCGTGATCCCCAGTTTTTATATTGAAATTTAAAATTACATTGACACAGAAGTCTTACAGACGTTTGAAAAAAATCTATCGTCCAACATTTAGACACCCCAGCTACCTTAAAGGATGTGGATGTAAGCAATTGTTATAGGCAATCATGCGGCCTTCAACAATGAGAAAATCCATACCGTATATAGTCGCCGGGTTATAAAAAGCCCCGACATTGTAGAACTATTATTCTTCACCCCTACCCCTTCTTCCCCTACCTTATACTACTGCTGAATGATACACAAAAGCACAACAAAAGAGAACAAATTTCGCTATCCCTTCGAAATCGGAATTTGATTAAGAAAAAATAACACGTTCCATTTTTATCATACATGTGTAGTTTCAGTTTCAACCATGGTTCTAAATTTAGATTTTACTTTCCCCAAAAATTGCGGACGGAATAGAAGACACCTGTTTATTTTCTGCACCTTGAAAACTGAGATTTGGATGACATAGATTTTACATATTCTGAGATAAATGTAATAGTGAACAATTCTTAGTTTCTGAGTGTGTAATGTTTTGTGGACGGAATCTGATGGGTTTTTTTTTGCTGTTGGCTTTTTCTTCGGCTTATAAATGTTGTACTAGTGGTCGATTACCCCTTAGTATCTTTTATACTTTTTACATAAATAATAAAATATAAAACATCATAAAATTTTCAATTGCATAAAAACGGACATGCCAACGTCTTTCTTGTTCAAGACACAAATTCACATGCAATATAATTATTCGTTACCTACAATTTTACGCTACAGGATCTACAGTACACTGTGCATTTTCATTCAAAACTATGGTTTTTCAAAAACTATTGTGGGGTCAATTCTGGTTTGATTTTAATGAATTTGATACGAATAGAAGCAGAATTGTCACTGGTTTATTTTTTATTTGGTTATAATTTTGTTGTTTAGGCGTTTTTACCTTCTGTTGAAATAAACACGAGTCGTATTGTGTACCTGCTCCTGCGTGTCTAAAACAAAAACAGTGGTAATAGAGTCAGACTAACTCACAATAGGATACTCAAATTTCTGATTGGAGTCATTCTAATTATTTCTTTGAAGTTTTGAGATAGCACATGAATACTTGTTTGAATTCATGATAGACCGCACGAAGTCATTTCTCTTTCATGTGCCCATTTTTCCTTTCTTGGAGTAGGGGAGATAACCCGCGTAACTAACGACGCACGTTTTTTATTCTGAATTCCGCTAGAGGCGTGCAATTACGTACACTTCGCCTTAACTGGACCAAACCAATTTTAACTGGTCTTTGCCCAATGTCCGGCGACCTTTGGAATGTCTGCACCTAGTTTATAAACACATTCATTATATCAAAACAGAGTGTAATTTTATATGATTTATATGTTGAAAATCGCAAGAGGCGAATACGACCATTTAACTCTGAGAACGGTGGTATGTTTTTTTTTAATTCTGATTCTCAACTAGTCCAAATAATTATGACGTCTTTAAAGGCTTAAAGTCATAACGCT